CTTTTTTTTTTTTTTTTTTAAGTACATAAAATAATGATTATTTTTAGAATTGGTGCTGTCTTGGATTTGATGAAATGTGGCATTTTGTCTTAACTATTGAGGTTGTCTTATTTAGTTCATGTGGATTTATTGTTGGGATTAACATGGCTAATTTATTGAGCAGATGAGATACTTCTGTGTGCCAGAATAGGCATTCTCCTATGCCCTTGTCATGTATTATGTGACTTTCTATAGTGCCTATCACTAAACAGTACTAAAATAGTAGCTATTACTGTAATTCATTTGTATAACTATTCCCTTTAAGCTTCATAAAATCCCTGTGAGGTGATGGTTGTTCCAGTATTTATAACGGAAGATTCTGAGGCACAGAGGGGATTGTGTAATTCGGCAGTGTAGCTTATTGATAGCACTTTACCACGCTACTTCTAGCTCTCCTCATTAGAGCAGAAGGTGAATGACCCTTCAAAACCATTCCACAGCCAGTGGTTCCATCTGGTTGATTGTCTGCTGCTGTTCCTAAGCCTGTCCGCCTTTCTAGTGAGTAGCCTCTGCCAGTGGGCTACAAGTGCATTTCGAGTTCAGGCAGTGTGTAGGCCTCACCCAGCTTTTCCTTTCCATGGCACGCTCTCAAGTCCCCTCTGTGTGCATGCCAGGGAGGTATGGGTCGTCTGGACCTCTTTGGACTCTCCTTGTGGATGTGTAGATTACTTATCAAGGCTTCCGATGGCTGTCTTATTTTCCAGATTTTCCTGTTAAATATCTGGCTAGTTTTCCAGTTCATTGCTTGTCCCAGCCAGGACTGTAACCTCAGGCTTGAACAGCTGGTCTTCCCTGTTTACTTGCCAATGAGATCACTAATGTTACTGACAGCATTGCAGGACTTGGGGTTTTTCCATGCTGCATTCCTTGTCGAGCCATTCCTCTCCTTGGACCAGGTGCAGTGGCTCACGCTTGTAATCTCAGCACTTTGGGAGGCTGACGCTGAAGGATTGCTTGAGCCCACGAGTTTGAGATCGGCCTGGGCAATATAGTGAGACCCTGTCCCTGTCCTCCCATTTCCCACCCCAAAGAGTCAGTTCTCTCCAGCAGAGAAACTGCTGGCTTTTGCAGCCTGTCGCCTTCCCCCCAGCAGAACAACTTGCAGACTGAACTGGGGTTGGGGATCAAAGCAGCTTGAGGTGAGAATTCCACATACTCTACTCTTCTGTTCTTAACTTGAAGCCAGTAGATTTTCATGATAACCTGCTTCTCTATTTGGTGTGTACCTTTGTTTGATTTCCAGAGCCCTGAAATAGTTGTTTGGGCATTTTTTTCCAGGTTTATTGTTGTGTTTGGAGGAAAAATTTGTTGAGCTCCTCACTTGCCATTGTCCATTGTCTCTCTCTGGACTACTTACTCTGGTATCCATGTTTTTAAACCTTTTTTCCCCCTATATTTTTATTTTTATCTCTCTGTGTTACATTCTGTGTGATTTCTTCTTCTAAGGAAGGTTCTTCTCCTGCCCCTCATGGCAGCCTTCCCTACAGACATGTATGGTGAGAAGTTTGGTGGATTTAGTTTAGTTTCACTCACGCTCTTTGGGCATATAGCCCTTTTGTGGTCCCAGCTCAGTGTGAAGTGGGACTTCTTTTATATATGAGTGGGGCTGGGCCTGGCTCTTGATTACATCCTAGTCTCCCTTTAATACTGCCAAAGCCTAAGTTTGTATAGGTCAGCGATAGCTTCACGACAAAGCCCTCGAGGGCTCCACTGATCTTTCTGGGTTCTTTCTTCCCTGGCTTGGAGATTCTTTGGTGGTAGTGGTGATTATTATTTTAAGAATGTAGCCGGGCTCGGTGGCTCAGCCTGTAATCCCGTGCCTTTGGGAGGCTGAGGTGAGTGGATTGCCTGAGCCCGCGGGTTCAGGCAGGGACCTCATCTCTACAATAAAATAAAAAATTTAGCCGGGCGTGGTAGCGTGCACCTGTAATTCCGGCTACTCGGAAGGCTGAGGTGGAAGGATCACTGGAGCCCAGCTGGTCAAGGCTGCAGTGGCTGGGAGCAGCCACTGCACTCCAGTCTGGGCGACAGAGTGAGACTCCAACTCAAAAAAAAAAAAAAAATGTTTTAGCCCACATTTTAGTTGTTTTCAGTGGGAAGATTGTCTGCCCCACCATTATCAGAAATGGATGGCTCCTTTCCCTTCATCCTTGGGCCATGTGTTTATATTTGGTATTTACACAGATATTTACCCGGGCCAGAGCTCTCCATTCCTTCTCCTCGATCCAAGCTCTGTCTGGTATCATTTCCCTTCAACCAGGACTTATAACATTTCTCATAGTGTCAGCCAGCACGGTTATTCCTAGACCTTGATGTTATCTCATATTTAAAGGACTGCTGAAATGATTAAAGTGAGATAGAGACTGGGGATTATTATATGAGAACAGAATTCTGTTGATCTTAGAGTGAAATTCTTGCATGACTGGAATTTAGTTTTTATACAATACAGTATAAAGCTGATTGCATAAATGTGCTTACTGTGTTAACATCATGCTCTTTGTGGTAGTATTTCAGTGTTGATCCTTCCCCCCCATCCATACACACACACTGTGGCCAGGGGGAAAAAAAACCCTACCACAAAGCCAAGAACAGTTACCCTTATATGAAGACTCTTGGATTTACAGATGTGTATAATGTGAAAATTGCTAATTTAATGAGATTGGTTATGTTGACATTCAGCAATAAAAGCCCTAACATTTATTTACTCTGGGGGACATTAGTGAAAGTGATGCATTGTAGTTCATTTCTGTTGATATTATTAAAGCATCTTCACATTTTCACTTTTCAGAGAGTGTTTCAAACGATCTGGATGGTTTTCTTAATGAAAAAAATCTTTCAAGAATGACCTTGTCATTCTTTAAAACATTTCAGTGGCCCCATGTCTTGTACAGAGTCAAGTTAGCAAGGCATAAAATATCCTCAAGCTTGGTCCCTTGTTTCTCTCTCCCAGCTTTGTGTCCTGTTGCTCTTGTGTTGTGCTCTAGCAGCTATTCTCAGTTCTGTGACCACACCTTGGCATCTCACACCTGTGAGTCCTTGTTTTCCTTTGCCTGGAATGCCTTATTTTAACTTGGTGAAATCCTACTTGTGTGAAAGCCAAGTTTCACAGTCTCTGTAATGTCTTCCCCTGTTCCTTCAGAGTTTATCATTTTTTCCTGGTGTTACTATGTAGCCTTTTACATAATTTTGTTATTAAACTTTTCATAAAACAATGTAATTATTTCAATAAAGGTTGGAATCCAACAATATGTTGGAGGCATTTTGAGGGCATTGTCTGTGTGTTGGCTCTTAATAATCATGTATTAAGTGTTGAATAAATGGATAAATTTCCATATGAAGTCATGCCAATGAGAGATGGGAACATATGCTTCTTCTAATGACTATAATAAGTAAGTAGAGAAATTCGAAAGTACCAATTATTGCCCCTTTTGTGTTAATTGGAGTGTCTTCTTGGTTCAGTTAAGACTGCAATTTAGTGTATTTGTAAGGTCTTTTGGTTTTTAAAAACAGAATGATTTACCATCTAATTGAAATAATTGTAAACAAGGGTCTTCCTAAAGTATGTTTTCATTTCCATCAACAGAATCCAACGTGGCGGAGTCTCGATTTTGGAATAATGCCAGACCATCTTGATACATCTGTGTCTTGTTTTGTGGTGAAGATATGGGGTGGAAAAGAGGACATCTACCAGCTGTTGATTGAATGGAAAGTCTGTTTGGATGGGCTGAAATACTTGGGTCAGCAGGTAATTTTTAGACTGTGGCTTCAAGTAGTTGTCATCTCCAAATTAACCTGTCCAACCTTTCTGTTGAGTCTTCTGATTCTTCATTTCCTATTATCAAGGGAGACTTTCATGACTGTTTACTTATGTTACTAAGAGAGAGACCTTTATGATTGTTTTCATATGTTATTATTTACTTATGTTGTTATGTTTGAATCATTGCCCAGTTAAAAAAAATACCTTTAACAGAAAAAACTTATGAAGAAGTACTCTAAACTGCTTAATTTAAGAGAGAGAGACAGAGAGAGAGAGAGAGAGAGAGAGAGAGAGAGAGAGAGAGAGAGAGAGAGAGTGTGTGTGTGTGTGTGTGTGTGTGTGTGTGTTGGAAATAATACGCTTTCTCCATATTCTTCATTATAATGTTCTGCTTTGTTATTGTGGAACAGTCCAAAGGGAAGTGTTTTGCTTTTTCCATTTTCTTGGATGTCTTCCCCTAGAATCTGAAAATTAAGTTGAGACCAGGTATGGTGACTGAGGGAGGAGGATTGCCTGAGCCCAGGAGTTCAAGACCAGTCTGGGCAATATGGCAAGACCTCATCTCTATGAAAAAAAAAAAAATTAGCCTGGTTTGGAGATGTGCATTTTTAGTCCCAGCTAATGGGAGTCTGAGGTGGAAGGACTGCTTGAACCCAGGAGATTGGGGCTGCAGTGAGCTGTTACTGTGCCACTACACTTCAGCCTGGGTGACAGCGAAACCCCAACTCAAAAAAAAAGAACCAAAAACTAAAAAAGAAAAGAAAATTAAGTTAAAATAAGGAATACACTATTAAACACCTCTCTTTTGTCCAACAGAGTTGGACTATCCAGGAATAAGCACAGCATGACAAATGCCTGGCTTGTGTACTGCTACCTGTTTCCTACCTTTGCTGTGCACAGGGCTGATGCAGCTGTGATCACAGCACTCTTCCAGCTTCGCTCAAAAGTAGCTCCACGATCCTTTCTAGCACAATGTTTCAGGATGCACCTAGCAATCTATCAGAATTGCAAATGAAATGAAACCTACTTGCCGTCCCCAGACATAGGTTATTACAATTCATGTTTATAGCAATCTTGTGAAGGTTGATACTATTGCCTTTATTTTCCAGATGGAAAAATTGAGCCTTAGAGAGTTTAAGAAACAACTCAAGTTCACCCAGTTAGGTGAAGCCAAGATTTAAACTCAGAACTGACTGATTTATAAATTCATTTTCTTTGTGCTGTACTGTACCGGTATATACATGTGGTCCTTTTAATTAATTAATTATTTATTTTTTTGAGTTGAAATCTCTGTCACCCAGGCTGGAGTGCAGTGGCATATTCATGGCCACTGCATCCTAGACCTGCTGGGTTCAGGTAATCTTCCACCTCAGCCTTCCAAGTAGCTACAGGCGTATTCCAACCACACCTGGCTAATTTTTTGGTTTATTGTAGAGACAAGGTCTTGCTGAGTTGCCCAGGCTGGTCTTGAACCCATGGACCCAGGTAATCTTCTCACCTCTGCCTCCCAAAGTGCTGGGATTACTGGTGTAAGTCACTGCTCCTGGCCCGTCTTTTTTTTTTTTTTAAAGCTATTTTAGTTTCAAGGACTACATGTGTAGGTTGTTTACATAGGTATATTGTATGATGCTGAGGTTTGGGCTTCTACTTAGCCCATCACCCAAATGGTTAGCATGGTACCCATGGGTGGTTTTTCAGCTGTTACCCCTTCTTTCTCTCCCTCCCCCAACCTCTTTTAGAGGTAACGCTAAAATGTTAGCCATAGATTATCTACAGACATCCTTCTTTATTCAGTATTTATTTATTTAGAGTCAAGAGTCTCACTCTTGCCCAGGCTGGAATACAGTGACATGACAATGGCCATAGCAGCCTCGACCTGCTGGGTTCATGCAGTCCTCCCATCTCAGTCCTCTAAGTAACCAGAACTACAGGCACGTACACCACACCCAGCAAATTTTTTATTTTTATTGTAGAGATGAGGTCTCGCCGAATTGCACAGGTTGGTTTTGAACCTCTGAGCTCAAGCAATTCTCTCATCTCTGCCTCCCAAATTGTTAGGATTATAGGCATGAGCTACTGTACCTGGCCACTTTCTAATATTTTTCTAAAGAAACAATTCTGCATTTTTTCCAGATAAAAACAAACAACAACAACAAAAAACCCCTCTGTCCTCATTTTGCTTGCCATACCTATATTAAAAAAAAATTTTTTTTTATAGAGACAGGGTCTCACTATATTTAGGCTGGTTTTGAATTCCTGGGTTCAAGCAATCCTCCCTTCTTGGCCTCCCAAAGTGCTAAGATTACAGATGTGAGCCATCATGCTTGGCCTATATTTTTTTAAAAATTTTTTTAACTGTAGTTACTTTGTGCAGTAGATCTCTTGACCTTATTCCTACTAAGTTAAATTTTGTATCCTTTGACCAAACTCTCTTCAAGGTAACCACCATTCTACTCTCTACTTCTATCAGTTCAACTTTTTTAGATTCCTTATATAAGTTAGATCATGCTCTTTCTCTTTTTTTTTTTTGAGTTGGAGTCTCACTCTGTCGCCCACACTGGGGTGCAGTGGCCACTCCCGGCCACTGCAGTCTCGACCTACTGGGCTCCAGCGATCCTTCCGCCTCAGCCTTCCAAGGAGCTGGAACTATAGGCGCTTGCTACTACGCCTGGCTAATTTTTTGATTTATTGTAGAGATGAGGTCTCGCCAAGTTGCCCAGGCGGCTCTCAAACCCGCAGGCTCAGGCAATCCACTCACCTCAGCCTCCCAAAGTGCGGGATTACAGGCTGAACCACTGAACCCGGCTGCTCTTTCTATATATACACAGCGTGCCGCTCTGTCACCCAGCCTGGAGTACAGTGGCACGCTCACGGCCACTGCATCCTTGACCTACTGGGCTCAGGCGATCCTTCTGCCTCAGCCTTACAAGTAGCTGGAACTACAGGTGTGTGCCACCATGCCCAGCTAATTTTTTTATTTATTGTAGAGACGAGATCTCACCATGTTGCCCAGGCTGATCTCGAACCCGTGAACTGAGGCAATTCTCTCGCTTCTGCCTCCCAAAGTGCTAGGATTAAAGGCATGAGCCATTGTGCCTGTCTCTCTCCTTATTTTTATTTATTTTTTTGTCCTTTTTTAGTGACCAGAGCAGTGTATGTATTATATATGTTACTTTTTGGGGTTTTTTTGAGACAGAGTCTTGCTCTTTTGCCCAGGCTGGAGTGCAGTGGTGTGATCATACCTCACTATAACCTCAACCTCCTAGACTAAAGTGATCCTCCCATTTTAGCCTCCAAGCAGCTAGGGCTACAGATGTGTGCCACCATGCTCAGCTATAAAAGTGTTCCTTAACCAAATGCTAATCTCCTACAATGCTTAAGTCTTTTTATTTTTTCTTCTGTTTTAGGACTGGTCTTAATTTAGAAAATAATGACTTTTGGTTTAGGGCCTTTGTCTTCTTTTTTAGTGCCTTTAGACAAGCCAACCAGATCCCTGCTCTAAGGCACACACCATCTATTGTCCTATAAGCCATATTGGGTTGTCTGTGGATAGACTGATATTTTAGTTTCTTGTTTCTCATTCATCTGAAAGTATATTTCTTGGAAGATGGTGCTTCTTAACACTGTAGTTACAGGGTTTAAAGCCTATAGGGAGCTTTTTGGGTCACTGCACATGGCTTTCATTGTGTTTTTCAACTCATACATTCCTTAGTAATTGTATTCTTGACATACCCAAATGTTCTAGTGTCTAACTTGCCCTAATTTCAGAGAATTGGCATTCAGATGTCTTCTTACTAAGTTAGTTATGCTGGTGTAACAGAATAAAAATAAGAGAATAAGAGAGAGAAGATAATGTGTTTTAAGTCAACTAGAAAGTTAGTATCATTGTAGAAAGCAATAATGTATCTATGAAATAGGTCCTTTTAAAGTGGGCACTTCACCGGCCTCCGTGGCTCAGCCTGTAATCCTGCGCCTTGGGAGGCCGAGGTGAGTGGATTGCCTGAGCCCGCGGGTTCGAGACCCGCCTGGGCAACTTGGCGAGACCTCATCTCTACAGTAAAATTTTAAAAATCAGCCGGGTATGGTAGCACGTGCCTGTAATTCCGTCTACTCAGAAGGCTGAGGCAGAAGGACCGCCAGAGCCCAGAGGGTTGAAGCTGCGGTGGCTGGGAGCGGCCACTGCCCTCCAGTCTGGGCGACGGAGTGAGACTCCAACTCAAAAAAATAAAAAATAAAAATAAATAAATAAATAAAGTGTGCAGTTCAATGAATCTGACAAATGTATGGAGTCAAGTAACCATCCCCATAATAAATAAAGCTGCTTTGAATATTTAATTTAGGTCTTTGTGTTGACATATGTTATTTCTTTTGGGTAAATACCCAGGAGTGGAATTGCTGAGTCTAATGCTAAGTGGGAAATTGTTAAATGGTTTTGCAAAGTGACAGTAACATTCTGCATTTCCATCAGCAGTATACGATAGGGACCCCAAAAAACTGGAATTATCTTTTGGAGGATAGGCCCCTTGTAGTATAGGCTTCCCCTGCTAGGTAAGTGTTCTAGAAATCCATCTGTACCCATGCACCAGGTAGTATTGTTGTGAGAGGCTGCAGGCTGTGTTTGGCTTCAGTGAAATTTTTTTGGAGATTCTTTCAGCACATTTGCCCATTTCATGATGGATGATTTAAAAGCACACCTGCCCACACTGTGCTGAGTGTTCAGCAGTTTTTGACCAAAAACCACTTGAGCCTTGTGCCCCACCCTCTCTATTCACCTGATCTCACCCCTAGTGACTTCTTTCTGTTTCCTTGGATGAAAAAATCCTCCAAGGGAAACATTTTACTGATGTGGAAGAGGGGAAACCAAAAACAGCAGAAGCACTAAGAGGCATCAAAATTGACAAGTTCAAAAACTATTTTGAGCAGTGGAAAAGCGTCTAGATAGGTGTATTGCATCAAACTCGGAGAGCACTTTGAAGGTGACCGAAGTT